TAAATTATTATTATGCTGACGGTTAGGGACTAAAAGCTGTAACATTTATATTTACTAGATTTATACCCATGCGTTGCGTGGGTTATTATTTTTAATATGTCAAAAATAAATTATGAAATAAAAATATAATGATTTGAATTTTAGAAGGTATATATATGCAACCACAACAGATTTGATGAGTACGCTTTACCAGTTAAAGCAAACATAACATGTTATTAGAATTTTCTTTATCAACTTAAAATGTTTTTTTCCTATCCAAACTAACATACTGGTGCGACCAAACAAAATTTAGCCGTTTCAAATCTGATAACCTAGTCTACTAATATATGTAGTGTATTTTTTTATAAAAAACCATTCAATTCACATAATAAAAAGAATATGAAAATTTTATATAGTCTGTTGCCTACATTATTTGAGCTCTAAAACACTTGTTTATCTCATTTAAAATTTTACATCTTCTAAAACATACTTGTTCTCCTTTCTAAATCTATTCTATTTTCACTTTCTCTTTGCTCACATATAATATGTTAATAATCTATATTGATGCTCATATCTTTGTAGTGAAGTTGTTCATATCTTTCAACAAACGTCAAATTTTCACTATCTAATCATATTTTCTACTTCACAATCCTCATTTTAATCACTTTATTACATCGCCTCAAACATTCATCATCATTTGATTTCTATTCTTTTAGAATTGTCTAATGTTATTTATCTATAATTTTAATCATTTATTATTTTATGTGAACGTTTTACAATTTTTTCAAGTTTATGAAATAAACATAATCTTTACCATATATTCATATATTTTTTGTACTTAAAAAGGATGTATAATGTTTTTGTACTTAAAATGATGTATGATTTATTAATCAATTTTAAAGTTGGAAATATTTATATTAATTTTTGTATCAATTTATTATTTTAGTTCTTCTAATATCTATTTATTTTTATTGTATTGTACAATTTTTTAATTTTCGTTTTATGTAAATTTTAATTTTTATGTTGTGTGGTAATTAATAGAAAACAATAATTAAAAGATAAAAAAAATTAAATGAATTATTAAACTTTAGTTTTAATGTAATTACTTTTTTTTTATGAAGTGAATGTTTTAAAGTGATGATGTGAACATCTTAAGAGAAGAAAAAACTCTCCGATTATATAATAGATTTTGACTGTATAGCATCTATATTTTATAACAACCAAATTTATGACCGTCCATTGTTGTTTCATATGCTTAGAGTGAAACTGTTTATCGTGAGTGTGGTGTAAATAGAACCATTCGTCGTGGATCCGAATGTTGCAAGAGATGCCATCGTGAAGTCGTCCTTGGATCATTTTATCCTAAGTCACTCATGCATAAAACCTTGGGAAAATGAATTTAATCCGGTTTGACTTCAGTTCTATTTTTATGTTTCTTGTTCGTAAACACTAGAGGAAAATAATACTTCAACTTAAGCAATGCAAAAATATGAATTATTGATTTGTGGCATATAAAAAAAGCAGGGTTTGTGGAATAAAGAAAGACTACATATATAACCATTAAAACTAAGAGAACCAAAACCAAACAACATAGTCTCACACATACAAAGATCTCTCTTCTCACTCGTATAAACATTATGTGCGCTAATTAGATTACAAACAATTTTCTTAGTTCAAGTTTTTTTTTTCTTAGGATATGGCATAGTAAATTTGTCTGAAATTTAGAACAATCGCTATTTCACTCATTCACAAACCTTAGATGAATAAAAAAAAATGATTATGAATATTTCCTACACGAATATCATCCGTTTTAATTTTTCTTTTATCAGTGTTAATTATTTCAAATCTAGTTTTGTTCGTAAACACTATAGGAGAATACTAGAAAACTTAACTTGAGCAACTAAAAACTTGAATAATTTGTCTTGTTTATATATGTATTCTCATCCATTCCCGAGAAACACAGAGAATAAATTTGTTGTGATTTTGGTGAATTTTATTAACTCGTAAAGCACATAGAACAACAAAATTTTCTCTGTTCATTCGAGTAGGGATCCTTAGTAATACTTCTTTATTCTCAGTCAACTAGAAGTCTAGAACAACTTTTTATCATGTAAACACATAAACAAACTCGTGATCATGTCGGTCAGCAAACAACATTAATTTTTCCCATAGATCTATATTTGCCATGTCGGTCAGATGATATTGTTTCTTTCACGATTCTTGCTAAGAGAACCAGGAAAAACTTTTGCTGATGTAATGAAAATTGTATGCTAGTAAAGAAATTTTTGTAAATTTTACAAACCCTCTCACTCCTTAAAGATATTTACAATCATATACAAAAAATTGCCATGATTATTAATTAATTTGTGATTATTTAATTAATTGTTTTATTATCTACGATAGCTAGCCTCATGATGAGTATTATATTTGTTCATTCTACAATGCTAAACGAGCCCAGACCCATGCATAATTATAACAAAGACGAAGCCCATTCCGAACTAAAATTTCCGAGCAGAAATTTTTATTCCATTTTTTCTTCATGACCGAACAACATAAATAAAGGGAGAAAAAGGAATCATTTGTTTTGTCAACAAATAGAATTAGCCAACACACACAACTAATGACTCAAAGTTGTTAAAGGCTTTATCGATGTCTCCTCTTTATTTTATTTCTTACAGAGAAAAGGAAGAGACTCCTATCAACTTTTAGGCCAAGCCTACGAGCTTCTCGCTGACTTCCCAAACCCTACGTGCCTTCTCGATATCGCTAGCTTCTTGAGACAACTGATTCTCGAATGAAGCCGAGGTCTTATTCCAGCTCCAGTACACTCCCGACTTCGTCAAGCTCGGATCACTCACCACCTTCAACAAATCAATACATTGGTTGATTATACTTCCAACGAAATTGAATGAAAGGTTTCTTGCGTCACAAGCAAAATAAGGTTTCACTTATTTCCTTACCTGACCAAGTCTTTTGCCAGCCTCTATCTCGGAGACGTAACCTTTGGTGATGTATTTCTGGAATGGAGGGAAGAGGGTACGGAAGAGAGGAATATGCTCTCTGAACAAACCGGTTGTCGCTATACAACCAGGGTAAAGGGAAGCAAAAGTGATACCGGTTTCTTCATGGAAACGCCTGTGAAACTCCTGCATTGTTAACATGTTGCAGACTTTACTGTCTTTATATGCCTTTGCGCCGTTGAAATCTCCTCCATCTATCATCGCGGAGCTGTTTAGTCCATTCAATCCGCCCGCTAGTCCTCTCAAATCCCCTAGATTGGCCTTGGGAGGTACATTACCCGCCAATGTATTAGTGTTTCCTGTTAAACAAGAAACAAAACATTTAAGAATTCGGATTTAGGTTTAGGGTAAGTAGTAAGTACACTAAGAATTCTTCTTGAGGCTATATATACCGGTTATGGATCCGACGATGATGAGACGTTTCGACGGGTAATCAGAGTTCTTCAAGTCATCAATCAACAATCTTGAGAGAAGAAAGTGTCCCAGATGGTTCGTCCCAACACTAAGCTCAAATCCTTCAGCAGTGAAAGTTGGTTGATTAGCTGTTGGCTGATAAACCGCGGCATTGCAGACCAACACATCGAGAGGCATCTCGGTTCGCCTGAAGTTATCAACGAACTGCCTCACGCTGTCCAAAGACGCCAAGTCCAAATGCATCACCGTGTAGCTGTCCTTAGGCATCCCTGCGGATTTAGCGGCTCTCTCGGCCTTGAGGAAGTCTCTGCACGCCATTATCACGTGCCATTTACCTGTCTCGGCTAGTGCCTTTGCCGTTGCTAACCCTAGCCCTGAGGAAGCTCCCGTGACCACCACGTTTCCTTTTCTAAGGGTTTTCTTACCGTCTAAGGAAGATCTTGTGACCGATGGGGCCGAAGTTGCGATTGTTTGAGCTCGAATTATTGCTCCATTTTTACTCAAGCTATGTGGCCTCTGCAGAGTAGAAAGCAATCCTATTTAGTTTCATTACATCATTTTCAAAGAATAGACTCACACATTTAGAACTAGGATCGTGTTTTGTCTACCTTGCATCTCAAGGAGGAAGAGACAAAGTCAAATTTATTTTCATCGGAAAGCGAAACACCAAAAAGACTAGACTCCTTGATTGATGCTGAAGCATTTAATTTTCCCTGAAACCAAAATATGCAAAATTAATCTCCAAGACAGGTAAAAAAACAAAGGCAATGATGAATAAACAAAAAAATGTTTTGAAAAAGGATTTGATAAAATTACATCTTTTCGGACAGAGAAAGCAGAGGAGACCAAAGAAGCAGCTTGAAGCGCCATTGTTTCAGTTTAAGAGGTGAATGTGATACTATTTTGCAAATGTGTAATGCTATGTGTGTGTTTATATAGAAAGGAGTTGGGACAAGGGGAAGGTGGTCCCCGCAGATGTTTTTCCGAGGATATGTGTGGATAAGATTATCTTTAGAGGAAGTTTCTGCAACGTCATTTTCTTACAGCCAATGAGAGTTCGAGTATTAGATTTCCTCTCAGTAGATATTTTAATGTATAATTTCATGGGACTCCAATGTCCCATCTCTTTGGGTATGGGTGAATAGAGAGAGAAAGCTATGGAACAAAATATGCTCTGCAATGTTATGGACGCTCTGATCTTCGGATATAATTGTTCATTGAAATGATGAATTC